CCATGCGCCACCGAGGACGCTAACAATAAGCCAGACCGGGCTGGGGAGGGGGGAGGGGGTTATTATTTTTCCTCCTCGTCCACCCCATATTTCCCTCTCTCTCTCTCTTTCTCCCTCCTCCTCCCTCGCAAGCCTCTGATCCTGACGCTAATTTGTACGCATTCATTCGAGCTATTGGTTGAAAAATAAAATAAACGTGAAAGAGGGAATCCAAAGAGGGAGGGAGGGGGGAGGGTTGGACGATTCGCATCTATATTTGGAAAATGTATCTCTACAGGGTGTTAAATATATTCGTGGGATATTTTTTTTCAAGAAATATCGATCCTGAGATAAAACAAGTTGGCAAAATGGAAAGATGTTAGGTTAGAGACAAGAAAGGATATGATTTTTTTTTTTTTTTTCCTAAATTTAACCCTCTATTGTATGAATTTTTGACGAGTTGAAAAAAATATATATGTTAATTTACTCAAGAATGAGTGTGATTATAGAGTTCTTATTTTTTAAAACATTAGGGTGTATTTTTAGTACGTATTTTGCCCCATCCACGTGAAATTTGAAATTTAAGTTTCCTAATTAGGAACGGAATGCAATAGAGGGTTGAATTGCTGACAATTGCTTCGATAAATAAATTTTTGAAGAATCAAGAATTTTTTATCGAATCGCGAATATATTAATCTTGAAGAGGAATTATTCTCAAGTTTAAAGTTCTTAAAGAATGTAGATTATATATAATAAGATATGTATACTTTTGATCTTAGATAAAAACATATTGAATCTCTTTACGAAATTAATTGTATCTCCATCAAGAATTTATTTCTATTATTTAAACTCGTGAAATTATAAAACAGAATTTTCAAACTTCTACTTCGAATCGATGAATCATCGTGCAACGGTCGATTCCTTAATTAACCGCACACTTATTATTCATCAACGCTGAAAGCGTCTGGTTAACATTAACCAGACGACAGAAACGAATTCGTAATAAAAAAAAATAAAGAATCAAAGAAAAGAACGTTCGCAAGAAAAGAACATTCTTCTATCCAACCCTCGTACATCCAAAATGGCCACCGAAACGGCCAAACATATCGCCATCCCTCCTCTCTGTATTATTAAATAGAGAGTGAGAAAATTTAAAATTCATTTTGTCCGTAGCGAAAAACTTGATCCCGCACACCCGACGGCCTTCAATTGAACGAAATAAAAAAAAAAAAAGAGGGGAGAGAGAGAGAGAGAGACGAAAAAAGAGAGAATAAATTTCGTGTCGGCAGCGACGTGGCAAATCGTGTTCTAGCGGGCCACCGGCAAATATCCACCATTCGCCCGCAGCGAACTCCTTTCGCCCAATACCGTCGTTCCTCGTAAACTCGTCCTACCGCGTCCCGAAAACTCGTTTGAATCGATCCATTCGGAATTCCACGAACCGGGTACATCGTTCCCGTCCCTCGCGGCAGACCTTCTACTTTGATTGGCAATGTTTAGAAGATGGCGTCGAACGCGAATTTTAAGATCGTTCCATGGAAGACTTTTCGGCCTCCGCTCTGTGCTTACGACGTTGTAAAAATAATACGGTATCTGCGAGGATTTTTTTTCTCTGCCATTTATATATTTTTTTCTCTCTCTCTCTCTCTTTCTGTATACGTTTGAAAATATTTGAGAATTCTTTAAATTTATCTCGAACGATATACTTTATATTTTGGAGTGGTCAAGAAAGATTTCGGATATTTCTTGATTCAAGTCTGGATTACACTCTGGAGGAGAGATATTTCTGGATCAAAAAGGAAAATTCTATGAGACTCTTCTAACTCGAGTCAGTTTCGAAATATCTCTTAGAATAGTTCGTCAGAAGAAATTTGAAGAGTTGCGAAAAGATTCGAAAAGATCGAAAAAAGATTTTTTTATTTGGTTCCACTCGAATCACATTCTTCGTTACAAGAAGGGATACTTTCATCGAAAAATTAACTCAATTTTTAATCCTAATTTCGAAAATTTTACAATTCTTTTCAAACTCATGAGCTACGGATTCAAATTGTCAAATTCAAATTATCGAGAGATAAGGAAGAAAGAAGTTGCTTGCAAATAATATTTTATAACATTCACGATTGTAGCGATTGGTGCACGCTTAAGAGCGGGCAAAGATTCCTGGACGGAATTATCTGGTCGTTTCTCTCGTGAAGGGTCGCCACGCCAATGTTCCGACGATGCCACGCTTCGGCCATCACGGCGTCACACGAGGGATTCTTCTCTGGGCAGCGCCATAGATGATAATCGGGCAGTGGCGGCGGTGTTGCGCGGCGTGGCGAAACTCGTGCGAGTATCCAAGGTATATAGGTGGAAAAGCGAGGAACAACCAATCAGAGGGCAACCTCCCTGGGGACGCGACGTTGCCATGGTTGCGTTCGAACCCTCTTAGGCCGTCTGTGCCGGATCCCTCACGGCTTGCTCGGGATATGCCGCGTGCGGCGTGGCGTTTCGTAGCCGTGTGCCACGACCGAATCCGCCACGCCATGTCCTGGCCATGCCACGCTTTCACTTTCTCTCTCTCTCTTTCTTGCATCGTCCGTCCGTCACAATTGTCCTCGTTTCCTCGTCCAACGACGTTCGAGAATCATAGTCGTTGCTGGTGTGTGTGTATATATATATGTATAGAGAGAGAGAGAGAATCGTACCTTTTTTTACCTCTTCTCGCAATCTTTCTCTTTCCTTCTGCCCCACCCCTTCTTCTCTACTTTTCTACCTTTTCCTTTTTTAGCCCCTTCACTCTCTCACTCCCCTTTGTTCAATCCAAGGGAGGAGAAGAGTTCGAGAGTAGAAGAAGAATCATTCCTCTTTCACTCTTTTCCTTTATCTTTCTTCTCCTATCCATCTTCCCTACATCTCTCTTACCCTGTCTGTCTATGCTTTCTCCGTTCCTCTCCCTCTCTTTTCCTCCGCTCCACCTTCCTCCCTCCCTCCCTCCCTCCCTCCCTCTTTATCCACCTCTCTCATTCTCTCCAAGGCTCTCTGCCTTTGCCTCTCGCACCGGCACTCCCGGTTTCCTGCACTTAGCAAGATCAATACCAGCCAACGAGGCTTGAAAACATGCGTCAACATGGTCTTGCACTGTTTGTACGTCCACATAACGCTCAGCGCCCGGTTACTACCACCGAC